AGGCTGTGTGTGTAGAGGTTGTGTGTGTGGAGGTTGTGTGTGTATCCCTGTTCACCTCCAGGCTGTGTGTGTAGAGGTTGTGTGTGGAGGCTGTGTGTGTATCCCTGTTCACCTCCAGGCTGTGTGTGTAGAGGTTGTGTGTTGAGGCTGTGTGTGTAGAGGTTGTGTGTGGAGGCTGTGTGTGTAGAGGTTGTGTTGAGGCTGTGTGTGTAGAGGTTGTGTGGAGGCTGTGTGTGTATCCCTGTGCACATGTAGCCGCGATGTGTAAGGTTCCCTAGCATTCATTCCTTCCCAATTCAGGGACTAAAGTGGTGGTGGGGGAGGATCACTAAAACCGAGAAATTTAGTAATGAAAAAGAACCTAAATCTTAACCTGAAAACGAGAACTGAGTCAGGTATTCAAAGTATTCTGCAAGGGGCCTTTGTCGCGAGGGAATTCGGTGGGGATATCTCCGCCGAGTCGGCACCCCAGCCACCGCCGAGCACACCGCTGCTGCAGCTGCTTTCCCCCTGTGGGAGTCGGACTTCTCTTTCATGTGGCGTTTTCGATCGCTTTCATATTCAAACGAGGTGGCTTTGTTCATTGTGTTCGTGCCCGTAAGTCAAGCCACAGCTGACTCATCGCTACGGCGCTAGCAGGCTGCTGGCATGAACGACGGGTGTCCGAGTGAATGAAGCCAGCTCACAGGGAATCCACTCCTCCAGCTGCTGTTTGGCTTTTTTTTTGGGGTCCTAGTGCCCCAGTATAGTGACGGGGACGCCGTACTGTAAACAGGCGCCGTCCTTCCGGTGAGACGTAAAACCGAGGTCCTGACTCTCCGTGGTCATTTAAAATCTCAGGGCGTAGGGGTGTAACCCCGGTGTCCTGGCCACATTTCCCCCCTGATCTTTACCAGTCATGCCAACCATGGCCTCCTAATAATCCCAATTTGTTAATTGGCTTCATCACTCTGCTCTCCTCCCCACTGAGAGCTGGCTGGCACATCATCCAGGTGAGGCTGCACACTGGTGGTGGTGGAGGGGAGTCCCCATCACCTGTAAAGGGTGTCAAGTGGAGTGTCCAGAAAAGCACTGTATAAATGTAAGGAATTCTTGTTGCTGTGAGGCCTGAATTCCTCTGTGAAGAAGCCAGGAATCCCACATGCACTGACGTAAGCTCCCACTTTGATGTGTGTCCCAGCAGTATATTTGTATGTAACCTTCGCCATGTTGTCCGTCATGTTTTTAGCCTTTCATCCTGTGGTCGTACAGTTTTGGGAAAACACCAAATATAAACACCAAATATAACACTTTATATAACATTCAGGGGTGTGACCAGGAACCCAGAAGACTGATGCTCATGGCATGGGCGCAGAAGCAATGCCGGAAAATCTTACATGTCTGCTGTTTCTAGGAGTGTTAAACCAGGAGAGCTCCCTACAAGGAGATAAACTTTGTTTCCAGCAAATTGAGGCCAATTGCAGTAGTACCTGAGTAACAAGCATGAAAAGGCACGATCATTTTAAATCTGAGGGACTTCATTAAATGTGCACTTGTTGGTTGAATTCTTACTGTGCCTGTACAATTGCACTCATACTGCCCTTAATCAAGTGATACATCATTGCACAGTTTATGGCCAAAGGTTTTAGGTAAAGGTGCAAATTTGCAGCCAGGTCTAGTGCTGATTGCTGGAGTTTACAGTAGCAAGCCCAATTCCCCACAACCTCAATTGAACCCATTGCTTGTAACCTATGAACTATAAAGACTTCATTATTTTCTGTATGGCTGTGAGGCACTCCTGCCCCAGCCAGTAGGGGTTGTTCTCACCATTGTACCAATGGCTTGGCCACCGTGCTGGAGCATGGAGCTCTTACTGAAACTGCTCGATCTTTTGGATCCTTCAAGGAACTGCTGGGGCAAAAGAAACACCCTGATGGGCGAACACCCCTCCTCCAGTGTGGGGCTTTCAGACATTTTTAGGATCACATGCATGTTCTGAGGATCACACGTGTGTTTTTAAGATCACACTCATGTTTTTAAGATCATGCTCATGTTTTTAGGATTATGCTCAAGTTTTTAGGATCACACTCATGTTTTTAGGATCATGCTCATGTTTTTAGGATCATGCTCAAGTTTTTAGGACCATACTCATGTTTTTAGGATCATGCTCAAGTTTTTAGGATCACTCTCATGTTTTTAGGATCACACACCTTTCTTTAGGATTATGTGCTATTTTGGGATCAAAGTCATGTTTTTAAGATCACACTCATGTTTCTAGGATCACACTCGTGTCTTTATTGCTGGGCAGCATTAAGCAGGAGTGAGAGCTGGTGAGATGGGGAGCAACAGACCTTAGCTAAAAAAATACCCGTGAGAAAATCACATCAGTGGCATATATACCAAACTTTCCCGCTGGGAAAACCTTGTCTTCTCATGGATGGTTTCATTCATTTCAGAAATAGTAAGTCAATAAATGAATATATAGCCTCTATGTGTATATCTTTAAGCAATGCATTTAATTGAGATCACGCAAATGCAAAATAGATAAAAATAAAATAGAATTTTAAAAATAAAAATAGATTACTGTTCAGCTTGCTTTGATTCTCCTTTTACCTCAACACAGCTCAACACATATGGGCTTTTGGTGAAATTGTATGTGAGAACACACTCCACACTGTCCTTCATGACTTCTTGTGTTAATGAGATTAGTTCATGTGTCACACACTGATTTTTCTCTCCTTCTGAAGTTCAGAAGGTGTTTAATTCTTTATGGCAAGAATACCAGATCTTTCCTTTCCCAGGCGTGTGATATGTCACTCTGCATACCAGGCATTTTCATTTACTTGAGGTCACACCCCCGCAGGCTGGAGGAACCTCTAGAAGTCGTTTTCTGATCGTGTAATTAGGAGACTAATTAAAAGAGAAGCTCTTGTTGCCCCTGTGGATCAGAGTCAACAGTAAATGGAAACAGGTGGACTTGACTGGGACAATCCCCTTCATTAGTATTGGCATGCCGGCTTCATTCAAAATAAACCAGTTTCTGTCTCTCTCCACCCTTTGATCTGAAACTACCAGCTCAGCTGGCTGCGTCTTCGCTCGGGGGCTACGCTGTGTGTATGTGTCTGAGCTGCCTGCTACTCCTTCTCATGCTGCAGGGCTCTCCAGGTCCTGTGTAGGAGAGTTGGGCTGCACTGCAGAGGTGATGCAGAGTAGGAGACTCTGGCAGACTCAAGCCCACCTAACAGAGGTGGTACTGTAGTGTCACACCAGCTCAGTGTGGATATCAAACACAAGCAAGGTTACAAGTGAATGGAGGGCAATCAGTCCCAACTTACTTGTTTAATAATACTTGGCACAGTGGAGTGGGAGTAGGCACTAGTGCCTCAGAGCTCCAAGGTCCTGATTTCAAGTCCTGCATGGGACACCTGTCTGTGTGGAGTGTGCGTGTTTTCTGTGTGTGCATGCTCCTGGTGCTGGTCCTCTTCTCAAGACATGCCAGTTATAATTAATAATAATAATTGCTTACACTTATATAGTGCTTTTCTGGACACTCCACTCAAAGCGCTTTACAGGTAATGGGGACTCTCCTCCACCACCACCAGTGTGTAGCTGGATGATGTGACGGCAGCCATAGTGCTCCAGTACCTCACCACACACCAGATCTCAGGTGGGAGGAGAACAGACTGATGAAGCCAATTCATAGATGGGGACAATATCAGGAGGCCATGATCAGTAAAGACACCGGACACCAGGGGTTAAGTTCACTTTTTTGTGTCAGAGGGGATTGTCTATGTGATTTCATACCCGGAGAGCGTGTTTTCCTGTACCAGCTATGGGACCGTAGAAAATTCAGAACCAAACAAGCCTGATGGGCTGAATGATGACCGTTTTGATGTTGGGAGCAAGGAACTCCACGAGTGCATCCGGTAGAGACTGCTCCTGCCGCTTGCCTGGGGAGCTGGCTCTGGACAAGCGCGTTCACCGCTCGAGCTGAGCGCCACCAGTGCGCTTTCAGGAGACGCAGAGGTGGCCCTGTGGCTCTTACACCGCCGTATGTGTGGCTGTTGAACAAGCGCTCCAGAAATCGTGGGGGTTTTTGTTTCTCGCCGTCCAGCTACGAGAAGTGAAGTTCGCCAAATGCAGAACTGCTGAGCTTGTGGTTGGCCTGAGCAGCAGCAGCAGCTCCAGGATGGAGCCCTCAAGCAGCGCTCACCGTTCGCGCCTGCTTCAGAGACCACCCTGGAGAAATCCCGTCACTGATAGCAGCAGGCTGATGACGACCTCTTAGCACACCGTTTGACTCCCCCCTGTGCTCACATGATAACAGAGCCCCCTTCAATTCCCCTTCTGAAAGTTGGACAAATATTTATGTGGTTGAGCGGCGCTTAGCAATGTAGGGAAGTAGCAACAGACGTGACGTCACCTGTGTGTGGTGGACTTAACTCAAACTCCACTGACATTAGGTGAGAAAATTCGCAGAGCGTTAGTTTGGAGCAGCTTGGCTGCGGTCCATGTGGCGCTGTGGACTCCCCTTGAACTTCTCTTTTGGCCAAGCTTGCTGTCTGAATGTACTGATCTGCAGCTTACTGGTCATCGCTTTGACTCTTAAAAATTGTTTATGTTGACCACTAACATCAAGAGTGGCTTGGAAAGGTCTGAGCTTGGCCATCAGGCTGACAGTAAAGACTGCTGCTGTTGCTCGTAGCCTGTGCCGATCGTGCTCAGTGTCTCCCAGTATTCCTAGATCATTGCGGTCCTATTTTACACTGTGTCCTTTGCATTTATAGTAGACAATGGATGTTCGCATCCAGCCTTTAGGGTGTTGTAGAATTTTCAGACGGTCTCAGCTTGTGTTCTGAAATTTCCCTTTGGTCCAGTTTACCAGCCTCTGCAACTCTGATGAAAGCATGACGCAGGAGTTTCTGGATTTTCAGAGCTGATAGTGTCAACGCATTCCCTAAGCTGTGGTCTGCAGGAACCTGGAGTTTTCCATTTTTGCTTCGTTCCAGCTGAATCCTCTGAGTCTTAATCTGGGAATGGGGCAGCCCCAGTCTCCAAGTCCACCTCTGGTCATAGTTCTGTCATTGAGCTCCGTGTGAGGATATGGACTCACATCAGCTCTCGTTGCTTTACTGAGCTTAATCAGTTGCCTACTGTAGCCAATTGTTGCCTAAAAGTACTACTAGAAAGTTCTTCCAGGACTGGAGCTGCCATTCCATTGTTATTTTGTTCCACCTGTTGAACAGTTAGGAGATCTCAAGAACACGCAAAAACGTGAAGATGTCTTTGTGTTGTAGGAGATAAAAAAACAATCATGCAGGTCAAACTGAACAAGTTGGCAGTCTATAATAATAACAATAAAAATAATAATAATTGCTTACACTTATATAGTGCTTTTCTGGACACTCCACTCAAAGCGGTTTACAGGTAATGAGGACTCCCCTCCACCACCACCAATGATGATGTGATGGCAGCCATAGTGCGCCAGAACGCTCACCACACACCAGCTCTCAGTGGGGAGGAGAACAGAGTGATGAAGTCGGTTCATAGATGGGGATTATTAGGAGGCCGTGATTGGTACGGGCCAATGGGAAATTTGGCCAGGACGTGTGCCTTGAAAGGTGGAGAAGCCTGTGATTGGGCTGTTTGAGTGCACACAGCACAGAAGGGCGTAACAGCACTGTCTCCAGCTCCCTGTTCTGCCATTAGAGTCCAAATATTAGGAACCTGGGCCCAGTGAGCCCCAATCCAGTTACTCAAACTTTTATTTAAGATCACCCCGTTGATTAAAGATTAGGAACTGCTCCTTGATGTTTGAAGGGTAGCCAATACAATTAAGTTAGCAAGTCTCCTGTTTAATTGGTCACAGATCATGAACACATCCTCATAGGCTTTGACAATGGCAACCACAGTCTTTTTCACAACAGATAGTGAAACACTAATCAGGGGACACAAGAGGAAACTTGGAAGTGCATTTAAAAATGTACATCTTTACTTAAAGGGTTGTGGGAGAATGGAACAAGGTACATTTGTTCCTCTACAGTACCCCTTGATTCACACAAACAATCCCTGTAAAAAGGGTGAACCTGCTGTAAAAGCAAAGTGAGGTACATAAATACTTGTATTACACATAAAAAATAACTAAAAAAACATTTCCACGTAAAATAGCAATCGGTTTTCTGCATTAATCGGGATTTGGTAAAGTTTGGGGGAGTACTTTTTAAACTTAAAGATGATAAATGCCATTTTGAACGCCTTTTTTATCCAGATATTTGTAGAAAACAAACGTCTGATAGGTAGAAACAGGCAATTGCAAAAACGATAAGAAGTATTTTGAAGCGCTCATGTGATATACTCTGAAAAATACTAAACAAGGACGCCATCTCCAGGAGACCTCCTACCTTGCGAATTTGAAATGAAGACCGAACTTGAACGATTAACGTGGGGCGGCGAAGCGCCCTCTTGTGGTGGTTGTCTATAATGTAATAATAATAATGTCGGTGCGTGTTCGTCCTTGGGGAAGCGCTTTGCAAACTCACAGGACGCCTTTATTAGACAGCATTTTGTGTAACACTGCACACACGTTTATATCTTTAAAACCAACTCCTCATGAATGAAATGTCAACCTTTTATTCATAGAAATATTAAAATACGTGCTCAATGAAAAATACTATAGAAAGGAGCCCATAAGCAGCAACAAGCTGATAGAGATAGTTATATATTTAGATAAATACTTTATCGTCCAATACTGGCTGGAAATTTATCTTGATATATTGTTTTATACTGTTAGCTATTTTATGAGATTATATGTTGTTAACAACGACAAATTAAAACAATATTCTGCAGCGATTGATCAGTTCCCACCCCGTTCTGCATGTAATTGGTAAACCTAAAATTGACAGGCAGCATCTCTTTTGCCATTGGATGAACATTCTGTCAATCTAATAAGAGCTCAACGCTATTGGCTATTGCACGTCTTTCTGGAGACAGGATCAAGAGACGGAGCTGCCCCGGAAGTGATTTTGTGTTATTGTTTGGGAGGGAGGCATGCAGGTTTTCGAAATTCAACGTAAATTTGTAAACGGTAAGAGAAGGTTATGTTCTTGTTTTTTTTTTTCACACGTTTATGTGTATTTTTAGACCGTGTCTAATTCCTCATTGCACTTTCATTAGAAGACAGTTCAGTTTTAATCCTTATTCGTTCCACTTGTGGAAAAGCAAATGAGTATTGTAAATTATTATTTCAATTTGGAATATATACACTTTTTCATTGAGTACTGAGAACAAAAACCGTTGAAACCAGGTGCAAATGTAAACGGGGTGCCTGTGAGTTATAGGCGATACCCTTCGGGAGGTGATGTGCATTCAGCGAGTTTGAAGTTTTCAAATTGCGCCCGTTTTCGGAGACGGACATCTGTAATTGGCTATTCAGGAGAGACGGGAGGCACGTCTGTTTAAACTGACGTTTGTAATTGTTTTACTAATGGCGCTAGTTAACGTTGCAAAATTGTGCTTGATTAAATAACGTAGAGCTTGTAAAGGCTTTTCGTTTTCAGAGTTGTTTTTCATACCTTCTTTGACGCGCTGATTAGCAGCTTGTGAGTCCTCACCGGATTCCAATTAAGTGAAGTATTAATCGCCCCCCGAGCTAAGGGATGTTTTTAGCATTAATTTATCATTTGAAACTGCCTGTGCTTTCTGTACCCTACGTGTATCTCCATTGCGTTGAATAGCATATCTGTCTCCGTATCTCGTGTGACAACTGGCGAAAATAAATTCGTAACCATGCACACACAAAAACAAAGCTAAAATTGCTGCTGGAAGAGGCGTTAGTTGGACCAGTAGGGGGCGCTCACCCTTCAGTCTTTGTCCTAATGCCCCAGTTTAGTGATGGGGACACTATACTGTAAAAAGGTGCTGTCCTTTGATAAGATATAAAACCAAGGTCCTGACTCTGTGTGGTCATTAACACTCTGTTCTCCTCCCCAGTGATAGCTGGTGTGTGGTGAGTGTACTGGAGCACTCAGGCTGCTGTCACATCATCCAGGTGGTGAAGGGGAGTCCCATTATCTATAATGCATTTCTAGTGTCCAGAAAAACACTATATAAGAACAAGGAATGATTATCATAAATCCCCTCGGGTTAAATTGTCTAGCTGTGCACTGAGGGATCAGCATGTGTGAAAAGACCAACGCTCAGCTCGCCTTGTTGCGTTTTAACAAGGTATCAGAATCAGCTAAAGGAAAGTTTGAAGAGCAACCAAGGAGTTAAACATAAACGTCCGAAATGAAGTTTTTTTTCCATGGATTATTTGCTACAGGATTGGGGATTTGGGTTTGCGTGGTGTCAGTCTTCCCCCATTCAGCATGGCTCCGTGACGGCCACGTTCAGTCGGTTATACCCGCTTGTACGGACCCTGATGAAATAAGAAAGCCCAGTTTACTGTATCTCAGTGGTTCCCAGTCCTGGTCCCGGCACCACACACGCCTGCTGGTTCTCATTCCGCTCAATTTCTCAGTTCAGCCTGCGTGAGCTCGCTGCAGCCTTTCTTGATCTGAGAAGTGGCGTCATTGGAATATTTGTGTTGTGTTTCCAGTCACAAGTTTGGGATTCTCTTTCACTTACAGAATGCGACAGTGAAAGCTCTGACATGTTTGAGAGCTGGGAGCAAACAGTTCAGATGAGTCCTATTATTATTATTATTATTTTTAAAGCAATTGATTGTGTAACTGAGGCCTTGGCTGGAACACACAGCCAGCAGGCGTGTGGGTTCCCAGGACCAGGATTGGGGAGCCCAGGTTTATATCTTGGGGCCGCCTGCCCAAGAGTGCTCCAGCTGCTCTGCCTCACCCCACCCTCCTCCCCTGCAGCCTAGCCGCTCCCATGATGAACTTCGACGGGCTGGACCCCAGCCTGGCCGACTTCCCCCCCGCCCTGCACGGCGGCCTGGAGGCCGGGCTGGAGCCTCCCCTGGACCCGCGGCTGGACCCCGCGCTGCTGCAGAGCGTGGAGCTGGACCCCGAGGGGCTGGCCGTGCCCGTGCCCGACTCCGTGCACCTCCTGGAGGGCATGTACTCGGAGCTGCACAGCGTGGCGGCAGAGGTCGGGGTGCCGGTCACTGCCACCCACTTCGACCTGCAGGAGGAGCTGCTGTGGATGGGCAACCACCGGGTAGGGCGAGTGCTGGCCGGGCGCCCCAGCAGTGTCGAGACCAATATCGGGGTGGCGCGCCCCAGACTTCTATCATGATGTAGCAGGTTGACCCGCAGCAGCAGCAATCGAAAGGCACTGTCGAGAGGAAACTGGCTGTGCTTGACAGTTTGGTCTCCATCAGGTGTTGTGTAGCCTATGTGACTTGTCATGGAGTTGTGCAGCTTTTGTAATCATCAGCTGCAGTTAAACAAAGCAAATTGTTGCCAAAGCCTGGTGAGGTCATGTGCCATACCTGTAGGAGCACCTGCTTGCTTCCTTCGTTGTCCCAAATGGTAAAGTTGCTTTGCAGGCAGGTACAAGACATAACGCGATACATTTAGCACAACATGAATCCATTTAACAATGAGAAACATGCATGCATAAGATGTGTGAAACAAGTTAGCAGCCTAAGCTTTTTCTTCCCTATTTAGAAAAAAAATCAACGAAGTAAGTGGGTGTGCGAGATGGATACAAGTTAAATGCGTGATAAAAAAAAAAATAAGCAGAAAGTAAAATATACAATCAGTTGTCAGGATTAAGCAGATTAATAGCCGTGGGAATAAAAGATTAGTCAGTTCTGTTGCATTTGAATCTGGTATCCTGATGGAAGGAACTCAGATTCACTGTGCATCTGGTGGTCCTAACTGTGAGTGATTATACTGGCCTTCCACAGTATTTATTTGGTCTAGTTGTCTTCCAGCTGTAGCTGTTGCAAATCAATGATTTTTCTGGCTACCTTCACTATTCTGCTCAGTCTGTTGTTGCGATTATGTCTGTTCAGGTTACCAGACATTCGCTACAGTAAATGCTGGAACAGATTCAATGCAATCTGAGAACGCATTGCATTGGGGTTGCTTTGTAAATGGAGAGGGAGCCCATGGTAAAGGTGTGAAAGATTTTGTAGCCGTGGTAAACTCTCTGCTGGAGCCTGCTGGTTGGAGTCTCGCCTGGGGCTGGGGCCGGGGCCCAGCTCTTTCAGAGCATTGCAGGCTGTGCCACACTGCTCTCCCTCTCCCCTCACCCCTGTCCCTGTCTCTCCCTGCCCCTTCCCGTGTCTTCCCCCAGGGCCATGCCACCTCGTTCTTCGGCCCCACCATGGGGCGCTACTCCTCCTTCCAGGCGCATTCGTCTGATGACATCCGCCACATCCAGAGTCTGGAGACCGGCGTGCTCTTCCTCTCCAAGATTAATCTCAAGTGTCTCACCCGCGGGGGGCTCATCATGTTCGACTACCCGTGAGTACGCTGACACGCGGGTGCCCTCGTGTTCTTGACTCCAGCTCACTGGGAGAAGGGAGACAGTGCACACCAACTTCACTTGTGTAGACCGACACAGCTGTACATGCTGATGGCAAAGAGATAACCATCTGTCCATTTTATATCCGCTTTACCCAGTATGGGGTCGTGGGGCAGCAGGAGCCTATCCCAGCAAGCAATGGGTGCAAGGCAGGGTACACCCTGGTCAGGACACCAGTGCATCACAGATGCACACTCACCCCAGGATCAATTTTCCCAGAAGCCAATTAATTTTCCACCATGTCTTTGGAGTGTGGGAGGAAACTGAAGCACCAGGAGGAAGCCTGTGCTCACATGGGGAGAACATCCAAACTCCACACAGATAGCACCCCAGGAATTGAACCTGGTGCTGCAAGGCAGCAGTGCTTACTACTGTGCCATCATGCCGCCCCCAAGAGATATTATGGGTTGTTTTCTAAAGACCAGGATCGCTCTGGGTGATTTGCTAAAAAAGGAGTCTTGTGATTTTTTTGCAGCGTGCTCGTATTTGCCTGCTCTTTAAAAGGCTGCGGCTGGCAAAGGCTGATGGGCTAATGCAGGCGGTGTGTGTTTCAGGATGGAGGAGGGTGCCGACATGCACAGCCTGCTGCTGACTGACAACAACACGGTACTGCTGGGCGGGCTTCAGAACTACGTGGCCGAAGTGGACCTCAACACCGTGCAGGAGACCCAGAGGGTGAGAGCGGGCAAGACATGGCTCTGATGCCACCGCAGTGGCCTGTGAGAAGACATACTCACATACTGGCATGTTCCCACAAGTGACTGTGACTCAAACCGAGTAAACACACACCCCACACTCCACTGAGCACCTGCAGCTCGGCATGCTGGTAACCCACCTGTCAAAGCTAATTAGGAACTCTGGTAGTTTTTATTTTTATGTTTACTCTTCGATTGTTGTGAGTTACGCAAGAAATCAGCTGTGTTCTAGACCGTCACAGAGCTTTAATATTTGTAACTGTGACAAAACCATGTACACAATTGTGTCTAGTGTTAGTGTCTGTGTGCTGCCAGCTCTGCTCAGGGCTGCTGTTTTTCTCTAGTTTACAGTGGAGGTGCCAGGCGTGGCCATCATGAGACAGTCCAATCGCTTCTTCTTCTGTGGGCACACATCTGGAAAGGTAAGGGGAGATCCCCACGTGTGCTCTGCAACCCTACCTGCTGACCTACTGTAGGCACTGGAAATGGACATGTGACTTGGCAGATAGAAGGGTCAGGGTTAAGGACTTGCATCCATTCATGCTAAACTCTTGTAGAGAGTTATAGTAAGGCTCTATTCCTCAGATGTAGTCAAATCCTGGGATTTTTAATCTGGTTAACACCAGGAGTTTGGTCATCACCATCATTGTTCTCAATTAACTTGCGTAGACTACTGGCTGGCTTGAATTACTAGTAGGAGTGTTTTCCTGTGCCACAGTGAGCATGCTTTATAAAATCTTTTTATGAAAAGCTGGGGCACAATCGGGCCCTGTCTTTGGGCTGATGCACCTCCCCATGCAGGTGTCCCTGAGGGATCTGCGGACGTTCAAGATGGAGCAGGAGTTCGACGCCTACTCGGGCAGCCTATCGGACTTCGATGTCCATGGCAACCTGCTGGCAGCCTGCGGCTTCTCCAGCCGCATGAACGGGCTGGCCTGCGACCGCTTCCTGATGGTGTACGACCTGCGCATGATGAGGGCCATCACCCCGCTGCAGGTCCATGTGGACCCCCTCTTCCTGCGCTTCATCCCCACCTACACCTCCCGTCTGGCCATCATCTCCCAGACAGGTACCACTGCCCGCCCGGCACACGCCTGCGCTCATTCTACCTTTACTGTGCGTGAAAGCACAACCTCGTGTCATGACCTGTTTGTGATCGTAAAGTAAAAAATCTTAAGTGATCGCCATCTTGGATGTTTCACCCCACCATCTTATGTTTTTGATCAATTTTTTTCTGGTCTTCCATGGTGCTCTGTCAAATTTGAAAGTACAAAAAATAGATGGTAGCATTGGTGCGAAAGGTCACGTGGTCGCCCAATGGCATAACATATTGGTTTCATGTGTTCTGCTGCCTTCACAAAATATCATGTTCTAGTTTTTAGTTGGGTGTGTGTCAGATGTCTGTCTTGAGAATTACAGTCAGATTCCGTTGCTGCTGAGAGACGCCAGCACGGTGCCTAGAGTCACCTCTGCCCTGTCCTGCCCTGTATGTCAGAGGGAAGGTGTGGAGTGACCCTCTGAGTTCAGGTCGCTTTGGGTGCTCAGCCAAATGCAGAAGTGATGCTGAGCAGTCTGCTGAGCATTCCTGGCTTGTAGTGCCGGAGGGAGTTTCATCTACGTGTTTTACGTGTTCTACGACACCCCATCATGGTGCATGTGGTTTCAATCTAAACTGAAGAACTTTAGGGCAATATTTGTTCCAGGCTTGACGTTTGAGCCACACATCCAACATAGCGTGAAAACATCATTCTTCCACCTTAGAAATATCGCCAGACTGCATTCTATGTTGTGACTAACTGTTGGTCAACGCTTTAGTTTTCTCGCAAATTGAATATTGTAACACACTGCTTGCTTAGGGTGTCTCAATCCATTCTGAACAAACTTCATTATGTCCATAATTTGACAGTTAGAATCCTGACCAGGTCAAGTGATCACATTACTCCTGTCCTAGAGCCCTTGCACTGGCTTCCTGTCAGGTTTTGTGTCTACTTCAAAGTCCTCATGCTCACCTGTAAGACTTTGCACCTCAGAACCTGCCTCCCTTCCCTGGCGCAGGACAATGCCAATTCTGTGAACCCACCGGCCTGGCCAACCTGGCGGACATCTTCCATGTAAACACGGTGGGCCAGCTGCTGATGAGCTTCGACGTGTCCTCCAGCAAGCAGGCGCTGGCCTTCGGCGACTCGGGCGGTTGTCTGCACCTGTGGTCTGACGCCCCCGAGGTCACCTTCAACGGCTACTCCCGCGAGACGGACTTCGTCCTGCCCTGCATGGTGGACTCGCTCCATCACCTCGACTGGGGCCACGATCTGCTGCCCCTCTCGCTTATCCCCATGCCACTGACCAGTGCCGAGCCCCTGCTGTCGGACTGGCCCACCACCCTGGCTGCCCCCAGTCCACGGTAGGTTCCCCAACCCACGAAAAGCCATCCAGAGGGGTTTCACAGTCACTCCAGCACTATGCATGTTCTTATCAGGGCCTCAGGTGAAGAGACCTGTTTGCTCTAAGAGACAACTGCTAAGAGACACTTTACAGCAGTGCAGGGCTAAGGAGTTGCAGACAGTTTTCTGAAAGACAGACCCAAATGCTGGATGTTTTATTGTGCTTTTGGATCTGTTTGTCACTGCCTGAGGAGGAGTTTTCACGAGTCTGTAATCGCTAAAACCTCAAATCGGTCGAATTGCGCGATGCAGTGGGAATCTTAATTCTGTTCCCGATTGAAAGAAGACAGGAAGTGGTCATTGCTGTGGTCATTGTGTTTGTTTGATTCACAACTTTGTCTGAGGTGACCGCAATGGGTAATAAATATTGTCAAAACAGACTAGTAAGTTACCAATATCATCAGATTGTAATGTGTCCATCTTCCTGCCTCCTCCCACCAGACGAGCCCCCCCAGTGGACCCTGAAATTCTCCGCACCATGAAGACAGTGGGGTTCATCGGCTACGCCCCCAATCCGCGGACCAAACTGCGCAACCAGGCAGGGCTGTTCGTGTGCAAGCGCTTACTGGTGCTCTTCCCGTTCAGTTCAGGGCTGTGCTGTAAGAGCAGCAGGGCCGGAGCCAGATGAGGCGGGGAGCTGGATCACATGCATGGATCCTCAGCTGTGGTCTCGAGCTCTAGCTGCTGGGATATAAGCAGGTGGTGTTTTAGAGACCCTGTCAGACCTCCAGACCAGCAGAGCTCTGGGAGGGGGGCTGCCCACTGGTGGTTTAAATGTGACAAGGTTAAAATCTCTGACAACGTTAATGCGTTAAATTTTTCAGTTAGGCAGAGAATGAGGTTATTAAGAGCTGAGGAAGAGCACCCTCATTATGGTACTTTCTTTCATTATAATTTAGACTAGATGGTATACATGTTTAATAGATATTCTGCTATTTACTATGCTTTGAGGTTCTATAGAATTCTGGTAAACTATATAGATGCACAGCAGTGTTCATATTAACCCTTAACAACTCAAAAACCTTCCCTATCTTTTATCTTGGCCTACTCTGATAACTTCTGAATATAAGACCTTAAATTCTGCAAATTCACTTTCTAGTTCAGGAGTCTCCATGCCAGTATCTTTTGGGTTTGCATTGTTGGTTGTCAGTTGCTTAATTGTACTCCTCATTGAGCAACTGATCAGAATAATTAAAGATGTTTAATAATTAAAGAACAAGAATCAAGTTTAATTGGTTCTTCTTCTTTAATGATCATTTGATCATAGCAGTTTGTAAAGCTGTATCAGTCAATAGAAATACCCCAACTGCTGAACAGCATTGAAGTGGTGTAAATCATTTACAGGTTGGTTCAGATAAGGGTCAAGTTGTTTAAGTGAGGAAGAGAAGAGTATGCTGGATCCAGTTTGCGAGTCCCTGTTCTGTATGTTGCTTGCTATACTGTTCGCAGTGTCATGTGTCTGTCTGTATGTTGGCTGGTCAGTCACTGTTCTGTCATGCCTTCCAGGTTCCCTACAAGACCAAAGAAGTGGAGCTGGAGTATGACAGCTACAACCAGGTTCCCGAGTCCCCCATTGGGCGAGAGGAGGAGCCTCATCTCTACATGGTGCCCAAGAAGTACAGGAAGGTACGAGCACTGGTGCATAGCACTCTAAGACATTCCAGGTTTCTTTTAGCTGCTGGGCTCTTGTATGTAAGTCGTACCAGGTGCTGAATGTTTCAAATGCACCAATAAGGATGACTTACCGGTCTAAGAACTGGTAGATTGAGATCATTTCAAGTGCTCCGAAGAAAAGATCTCTAGTATGTTCCATTGTAGTACAGTGAACTGTAGTTCCCAAATACCTGAGAAAACAAAAAAGGTTTTGTATTATATGACAATGATTTCAATTAACATACAGCAGTGGTTCTCAAACTTTTTGGACCAAGTACCACCCCTGATCAAACCAAAGCATCCAAGTACCACCTACAAGTCATCTTCTCATAGGAACCCCAGAAATTCTCAATGACCAACATGAGCGTGCGTGTGCGCACACACTCGCACACACATATAATACATATTATAATAATAAACTTTATATGATATAACGCCTTTAAAGGTGGCTTCTCAAAGCCCTTTACAGAAAAAAAACAGGAACAACAGCAAATAAAAATAAACAATAAAAAAGCACCATTTCAGTGAGCCTGTTAAGTCGAGCAAAGCAGATGTGAATTCATTTTTTGAGCCTTGATACAATTCACAACAGAGTCTAACAGATTTTAAATCGTCAGGCATTTTCTTGACGGCAAAGGTCTTGCAGTGGATGTTGCAATGCGTCCATTCATTTCTGCAGCAACCTCTCTAATTCGTGCAACTACACCGCTGTGTCGGCTTGTCATCGCTCTAGCACCGTCTGTACAAACTCCGACGCATTTTATCCAGTCGATGCCATTCTCTTCGATAAATTCATTCAGAACCTGAAATACCTGCTCTCCTGTAGTTCCTGTTGGTAGCGGCTTACAGAACAGAAAGTCCTCACGGGACGTACCCTCAAACTCGTATCTAACGTAAACGAGCGAATTGGCCAAATCGACTACAGACTCATCTAATTACAGTGAAAAACATCTGCTCATCTTAACGCGCTCTATTAGTGTCCTTTTGATATCATCGGCCATTTCAATAATTCTATGAATGACTGTGTCTTTCAGAGAGGGCAGCAGGTCGAGCTGTTTAGCAGCTTTTTCTTCACACATAATACGTCAGCTCTTTTGCCAACGGTAAATAAGGTTCTTCAAAAATAGTGTGGGGGTTACCTGCTTTAGCAATCCGCAAGCTTGCATTTTTCCCCTTTTCCGTTTTAGGTGTCTGTCTCAGAAGTTAAAAAGTTTTTATTTTATGCGCATGGGAGCGAAACACAAGAGACGCTCGGTGTATTTTTCTCAAATTTACCTAGAACAGTTCTTAAATATTTTTCTGTTATCTATCACGCTTTCCTGTGCTCACAAGATTACCAGCATTCCTAGCACGCATTTCTATGCATTCCTGTGTTTACAACATTGGCATTGTTTGAAACTCACGCACATTCTCCTACCTCCCTATTTGCTGGAGATACGTTTTTTTAAATACAATGGGTCACTTGCGTTCATAGCATGCATTCCTATAGAGTGGTATAGAATTACATTGTAGCTCTGTCCACTCAAGTATTAGCACGCGCTGTATCGTAGTACGTAGGCTGCGTATTCGACACGTATTAAAATACAAAATATGAAAACCCGTCCTGATTTTTCAGTGCACACAACACCGTGCCAGGGTCATGTGGCGTACCACCTGGCAGCACTCCGCGTACCACTGCCGGTACGCATACCACAGTTTGAGAACCACTGACATACAGCATTAAGCTCAAACAGCCTCTTGGCACTGCATCTGGGCTGTACGTCATAGATGGTTTTGTAGGAGTGGCTTAGTCTTTCTTGTCCAAGGTATGTGCTCATGTTGATGGGCTTCAGAGCATTGTGTCACCGTGATTTCCATTCCAACGGATCTTCCCCACATTCTCTGCTGCTTGTACATGACTGAACCTCACGGGTAGCACATCAGGAGTTGAGAAACAAAAATCCATTGCATGTAAATGTCGTTTTGTTGAGCTTTCTCCTGTTTGTGCTGTCCAGGTCACCATTAAGTACTCCAAGCTGGGGCTGGAGGACTTTGATTTCAAGCATTACAACAAGACCTTGTTTGCTGGGCTGGAGCCCCACATCCCCAATGCCTACTGCAACTGCATGATTCAGGTAAGAGCTACAGAGGTACCCTTGGATTATTAGACTGTTGCACAGTAAAATTAAAAATCTGTGTAACATCGTGGAGACTATAATAATGACAGACTTGGAAATGACTAGGTAAGATTCTAGCTGGTCAGCGGCTTCATTATAGTCCTAATTTGTCAAGGTAGCTATCATTACAGGTGCTAGACCTGGTCTTTTCACACACCTGGAGCAGGGTGGAACAGGGGATAAACGCTTGAGACACTGAGTAAAGGCTTGCAGATGTCTTGTGGTTAAGAGCCCTGTTTTGATCAAGGTCATTTTCTTTAAAAAAATGGCAAATGATTCAGGGTTTTTTAAATTTGGTGTGGCAGGAGGTGAATGTATTGTGCGAGTAGTTACAGCAAACCCGCTGCCAGATGTCAGATGTAGTAGACCTCTAGTCTTCAAATCAGAGACGTGTTGGTCTACACATGGGCTAATACATTTTCATGGTGTGTAGCTGTCTGGGGAGATTGGTTAGAGGGCAGCAGCAGTGATGGGGGGCTTCTCTCAAACCTTTTCTGCACTCTTGCTAAACCTCTGCAAAACGGTCTTCTGTACCTTTCAGTTTTTATACGCTCAGATCCCTGAAGCCACCTTCAGTCAGGCGCATTGTTCCACAGTGAAACCTGAGACTCGGGTGTGTGTGGGTGTGTGGGTAAGATTCAGTCTTGTCTCTGGCCTCCAGGTGCTGTATTTCCTGGAGCCAGTCCGCTGTCTGGTGCAGAACCACCTGTGTCAGAAGGAGTTCTGCCTGGCCTGTGAGTTGGGCTTCCTCTTCCACATGCTGGACCTGTCCCGCGGGGACCCCTGCCAGGTAACGGGGACCCCAGGGGTGAAAAGGGGTGGCTCTTATTTAAAAAAAACAGCATGGTAGTTGTCTGGAATAAAACACAAACACGTTGAAGATGATTCACTGGGACGCTTCACAAAACATCTGGTTGACATCCTTGGGTCATTAGCTACTAGAAACCACATGACTTAGATGGTCCAGTTGGCTTCCTCCTCTTTGCAACCTTTTCTTATGTTTTAACATTAGTTTACAAGCATCTGGATGCCATGTTAAGAGTCCCCACAGGAATCTAAACTATTTCCTCCTGTTTTTTTTTGTGTATGAACTTTAAACTCCTGTTTTTCCATATGCACTTGCAGCTAATAGTAGCTTTCTCTTCCACCCAGTGAGTGCCGACGGCCATGTTCTTGAATGTGTTCATGTCAGGTGTTGTTTGAAAACTGTAGGCTGATCATGGGAGGAGGGGTACCAGAGGCCAATTGCTGTGGTAGGCACTTGTCATTTCCTGTGTCCCTGTCCCTCCCAGGCCAGTAACTTCCTGCGTGCATTCCGGACGATCCCAGAGGCCTCTGCCCTTGGGCTGATCCTGGCTGATTCCGACGAGCAGACGGGCAAGTCCAAGCTGGGCCGCCTCATCCAGAGCTGGAACCGGTTCATCCTCACCCAGCTGCACCAGGAGACCCAGGAGCAGGAGGGACCGCAGGCCTACCGTGGGGCTGGCAACAGGTGTGGTCATCATGTGCGCATGAGTTTAACTTGGGATGGAATTAACTTCGAAAGTCAGCCTAGCCTCAGTAGGACTGGAACGATCCCCTCCCTACCTCACTTTGAATAAATCTGCATCAACAGAGGCAGTGTTAAAGTTCTCTGGTATTTAAGAATGCTAAATATACACAACAGGCTGGCAGAGGAGACTTTGATTACCTAGTAGTTTAATCCATTTCAGGTCTGCTGACCTCGCCCTGTTAGACTTACACTGGGTTCTAGGTAATTTCGGTATTTGATATATATATATACCCTAAAGAAGATATCTAGACCTGAAATTAAAATATTGGATCCGCTGCAGTGGAGGATATCTAACCACGTTAGATGTCGGCAGTCCTGCTTCCCCGTGTGTCCCGCAGCCTGCTGAGCTCCGAGCGGCTCTCCCCGCGCGGTGAGGGGCGGTTCCATCTCGCCCTGTGCTGTCCTGTGTCCGCAGTGCCTTCGGGTCCACGGGGGAGTCCGTGGTCGGGAGGCTGTTCGGCTGCGAGGTGGAGAACAGCAGCATGTGCCGTTGCGGGAAAGAGACCGTGCGCTCTGCGCTGACGCTGCTCTTCACCATGCACTACCCGGAGAACAGCTCCCTCGGTGAGTGCGCCCCCCGCTGGCCCAGGCTGAGCCCTGCATCCGGCCGGCCGCTCGGCACCAGCAGGCACGCACGTGCACGCCCGCTCGCAGAGGGGCTGCTTTCGTTAAACAAATAGGGGGGCGCTGGCCACTCCCTTCCGGGACAGCCGCTTGCTGTGACCGCAGGCCGGAGCCTGCCGCCTGGGGTTGGTGGCTCTGGATCCAGCCAGCGGCGTGAGCTCAGCTCATGTGGGGGCGGGCTGGTCTGCGCTGGTCTGCGCTGGTCTGCGCTGGTCTGCGCTGGTCTGCGCTGTCTTGCTGAAGGACTGATCTCTCGGCCAGCGAGCGTGTCGAAGGAGCACACGCACATCACTTCGCTCTCTTTGTGTGTTGCGGCCAATTCCGAAGTATGTTAGCTGAAAATGGAAGACGGAGATGTCGGATTTGAAAGGAAAGTCCTGTAGGTTACAGAGGCCTGTATAAGGGCCGTTTCAGGGAAGCTGGACACTCTTTGATTTGACCTTCGTAGAAAATGTACAGTTTAATTAAAGACTTAACTGTTAACAAAACAGGGAACAGGTTTTTCTTCTGAAAGCAGCTGGAAAAGACTGCAAGTGTTATGTTACAGATGACAACATCTGTATGGTTTCTGCTTAAAGCTCAGTTTTAAAAAATATTATGTTACTCACAGTTATTAAAAGGGGAGCAAATCTTAAACAGGAGCAAAATTAATTTAGAGTCTTCCTTGGGGAAGCCAATCACTAAGTCTGTGTAGTCCAAACACAAGGCAAGGGGCTTTGCACCAGGAAGCCAGTGGGTGAAACTCCTCGTTTCTCTCTACTACCTTATTCTGGATAAAAGGAACCTGCTCCACATCCAGTTAATTCCAAATGAAAACCCGCACTCCCCCAACAGCCAAAACAAAGTAGTTTCCCTTCTCTTCTTTCCAGACAAGACGATCAAGGAGTACGACTTCACGGAGATCCTGAAGAGGAGCGTCTGCCTGGGGCAGAGCACGCAGGCGTGGTGCGAGAACTGTGAGAAGTACCAGCCCACGGTGAGCGTCGCCCCCCCGCACCCCACTTTTCTGCGGCCTTCTTGGGCTCCTCCGCCCTCACCAGCAACACGCGCCTCTGCGGTCTCTCTCCCACAGCTGTGATTCGTTGACTCGTGATTCGTTGTTCTTCCTGTGGGGACCATGTTAACATAATGAAGGGCAGACTGCAAAAGGAGCAAATTGTTAACTAATTGAACTTGGTTTGAATAATAAAAGGGGGCTCGTGTTCCCCCAGTGGCCCACATTCTCATTTGAGCTGGAACCACTCAGACGTGGCAACCTCTTGAGCGAGAGATTTGACAAGTTCATCTGACGGGTCGGCTTTATCTGCAGTCATAGCTTGTCTAATCCTCAGTTTACAGTAAATCACCTCTAATGGGTTTGGATATTCCATGTTTTTCTCGGTATGTGAAAATGGCCTTTCACCAAAAAATATCTGGCATACGTATCCATAAATGGTAATTCAGCCATTCCATACCGCTCAGTGTTCACTGTCGCCATACTGGGGCACTGGAATATCTGCTCCAGGGGGAAGAGCGCCATCTACTTGTCCACCAGCAACCTGGTTTTCCTTACAAGTTCTCCCTTCTCAGAACTTCCTGAGTGCAGTCTTCCTTAGCTTCTCAGCTTTATGTGCTGCAAGGCTCTCTGGACTAGGCCAGTAACTAGGCTCCCTGACCTCCTGCCAGAGGGTTCCATCACAAGGCTGTATCACCCAGTCTGTAGCAGTAGTGACTTGGCACAGCTACTGCAGTGGGGTGAGCTACACGTGTTGATGAAGAATGAAATCGGTGGTATTTGAAACTGACCTCTCTGCCTGAAAACCAACACTCATGGCACGGCCTGTGTGAGAGACTGAAATGCGCATGACAGGGGAGCATGACTAGAGATGCAAATGGACAATTTGGTTTGTCATGTAACCTCACATAGGGAGCCAAATGAGAAAGCACGATTTGCAGTTTTTTTGCGGTCTGTCTGGAATGAACAGCCTGAAGCCAACCTGTTTGGTTTCTTCGCAGGTCCAGACGCGCAATATCCGCTGCCTGCCGGACGTGCTGGTCATTAACTGCGAGGTGAACAGCGCCAAAGAGGCAGAGTTCTGGAAAGCCCAGGCTGAGGTGAGGGTGAGGATGTATTTCACCCCTTCGTCCTGATCCCCATCCAGGAGGCTCTTCAATCCTGCAGTCCTGTAGAACCCAGACCCTTCCTCTCACTGCTGCTGGAAATGACATCGCACAGTGTATGGCAGAGGTGGCCAGCCCTGGTCCTGGGGTGCCACGGCCCAGCAGGGGATTCGTGCAGTGAAGTAGTTTAATGATCATCAGTCTTTTGAAGGGCAAGTTCATTTGCAAGGGTAATACCAACACCCTAAGCTCACAAGGACCCCAGCTGGCCAATCATGACTTAATTGAACCAATTGACTATATAAATCATTACTCTATATAAGTTCAAGTAGGGAGCTGCATCAGCCGCAAAGGAACAAGAAAAGATTTATTCTATGCTGGAAAGAGAAGAAACGAAACACAACATTTTGGCTAAGGAGCCTTCTTCAGGTGTGAAACGCAGCCAAAACGTTCTTTTCTTCTCTTTTCAACATGGGATAAACCTTTACTTGTTCCATTACTCTATATAGACGTGTTCAGAGTCTTTTACAACAGTGTCGCTCCTGGAGCAGGCTTGGCCACCCCCTAGTACTGTATCCGACAGGAATAAATGAATACAGCCGTGGATCAGAGTGAGTGCTTGTCTTTCCACAGTATGCCTTCAACAAAGCTGTGAAGAAGGAGGAGATGGAGCCTCCAAAGCCGCCAGAGCCCAGCCCGACAGAGTGGTGAGGTCACAGAGGGAGGGGGCAGGGCTTTGCTTGTTAATTCTCAGATGCTAATGCCTCTGGATGTTCTGTGCATGCGTGCTGTCTACCTGGGTACATTACTGAGTAGTAGTAGAGGAGTTTATTGCCTTATGTACATGTACATCGGAATTCTTATTCACGCTGATCTCTCGGGCCATACACAGACAACGCAGTACAACAGACAACATCACACTTTGCAGGCAGTACATTACAAGCATCATAAATAATACAATGAGCACAATAAATATGAAGAACTGAAAAAAAAACATGGTACACCATACAAAAAGTGCCTAGTGCAGTTAGCTGTTGAGGATGCATATTGCAGTAGGGTAGAAGCTGTTCTCAAACCTACTGGTCACAGCTTGAACAGTGTGGTGCTGCTGACCAGAGGGCAGGGGGAAAGCAGTTAGTGGGCCGGGAGGGTTGGGATCACGAGAGATGGATTGGGCTTTATGGCGACAGCGGATGGTGTGAATCTGGCCAATAGTAAATCACATCCTATTATCCTCTGTCCAGTGCCACAACCCTTTGTAGTGCATCTCTGTCATGCATTGTAGTATTGCTGTACCACACAGTGATACCACTAGTGAGGAATCTATCTATGGTGCTGCGATAACAGTTCATGGGGAGCTGCTTCCCCATTCTGCATTTCTTTTAAGTACTGCAGAAAGGAGAGGCACTGTTGTGCCTCTTTCAGACTGGCTACAGTGTTGTGAGCCTGGGTACATTATTTATTTGGCAGATGCCATTGAACAAAAGAGATTTTCGTACAACAAATCAACCATCTTTTTAAGGAACTTTTGCTGTACTTGGATGTTTTCGCTCGCCCCATTCCACTGCCTGCGAGTGTTTCTGCACAAGCTTTTCTCAGTGTCTCAAGCACAGTCAGTCCCAGTTATCAGTTTGCAAAGTAATAGAAAATCGGGCAGTAGGAAAAAGTTCAATTAAAAACAATTAGCAGCTAGTCTTTAATTTGCACTACATGTTCGCATATCATTCATTACCCAAGGTGACGGAGCCTGGTGGGAGCAGACTGTTTACACTTCTCTTTCATGATTAGCGGTGTTCTGCTGCCTCTTGCAGGGAGGAGCTGTGCAGCGCGGAGGGCCTGACCTTTGACTCCAGCCTGGAGGACCTGCGCCGCGTGTGGATCCCCCTGAGCATCAAGATGACCATCAGCAAGACGAAGGGCCTGGAGGTGCACAGCTGGAGCGAGAATGAGGAGGTGAGGGAGTAGGGAGGGAGCAGAGACGGGGAACCATCCATCCATCCTTTCATGTATCCGTTTCCTAACTGCTTCTCCCAATTCAGGGTCATGGGGGAACTGGAGTCTATCCCGGCAAGCAACGGGCGCAAGGCAGGGTACACCCTGGATGGTACACCAGTCCATCACAGGGAAGACAGACATAAACAGACACTCACAAGGGCTCATTTTCCCAAAAAGCAGTTAACCCAGTATGACTAGTTTGTCTTTGGACTGTGGGAGGAAACCCACGCAAACATGGGGAAACCCATGCAGATAGTGGCCCAGGTCCAGCACTACCTAAGACAACCCAGGCGGGTCGAAGGGGTTTTGCTCCGTGGCTTTTCCAGAGGGTTGAGTGGGTGGTCGCAGTGTCGCATCTGCAGATCATGCCATGCCTGAATAGTTGCTCGCTCATGGCTGTGCCACGGCAGTGTGACGCACACATGTGCTTTGTGTTGCTCCCCAGCTCAGCTCTGAAGAGGAGGCAGAGGGAGCCGTCATCTACGATTTGATGGTCACGGTGTCGCACATCCTGGATGCCCGGACTGGCGGTAACCTGGTGGCACACATCAAAGTGGGAGAGACCTATCATCAGAGGAAAGAGGTGAGCGGCTCGAGAGAGGGCAGGGGGTTCTGAGAGAGCCCGGGGAGTCCTGGGGGGCGGGCAGACGGGTTGGAGAGAGAAAGATTGAGCTGGGGACATATTTTAGAGAGATTGAGGTGAAACAGTGCAGCCAGAGGAAGGGAGTGCTTCCTCTGTGGAGAAAGGCCACAAAAAAAAAAGATCTGCTTTATCTTCTGAAAGGGGGGGGTACGAGACAAGCTGAGAGGGGGAGATCTGCTGTTTGCGGATTGTAATTTGACAAAAAAAAGAGGACCAAGAGATGTCTTTTACATGTCCTAGATAAAGAAGTGTGTGAGTTCAGGATGTAATCTTTCACTTAGCTCTGCTATCATTATTAAAGGACAAGCTGGGAACAGGTGCCGGCACCATAGAAAATTAATCTATTTGTTTCACTTTGTTTTCTGCTCAGTAAAAATATTCACTCAGTATTTTGTGGGGGGGTTGGGACTCATTCACTCTGGGCTTTCCTCTGCCTTCACTGTTATTTTTAAACCCCCGTCCTGTGGTTTCAGGGGGTGACACACCAGCAGTGGTACCTCTTCAACGACTTCCTGATCGAGCCCATTAACAAGGTAAGGGCATGGGTGCTGGGCTTTCCAGGTGGGCGGGTCCAGTGGGACCCTCAGGAGCCCCAGGATGCATGGGACCCCCATCAGTGTTGTTCCCCTGCCCTGTGGTCTGCAGCTCCAGCTTGAAGTCACATTGCTACACAGGAGACTTGAGCACAAGGTCTAAGTTATGGTGCATCGTTTGAAGGGGAAGAAATCTCTGATCCCCCGAGCAGGAACAGTTTCACTGCTATATCTTAATGTTTGCATCTGCCAAGCAGAAAGTCATGTTCTGTACAACTGCAAGTCTGAAGGCATCAGCAAACATTGCAGATGTCCTTCGAGAGTTTTGCAGGCTACTGGCCAGTACAGGGAAACAGTGGTGAGTGTAGTAGGGAGGTGGGGAGCCTTATGAAATAATATCTAGGGTGTTTTTGACTACCACAGTTGGGGTGAGCCTCCAGCTGGCCCTTACTTGCAATAAAGGGAATTTGAAGTGGTGTTAAATAGTGCTTCTTCATATTGTTTTTGCAGTGGTGGTTACTAGGTTGTGACATTCCGTTCATTATTTTAACATAGAGCCTGATGATTTTTCGGTCCCGTTCTCGCGTCTTCTTTACAGTCACTGGCTCTAGCAGGCCCGAGCTGCAGCCCGAGCTCTGGATGAGTGACTGTGAAGGCAGAGCGCCTGTTGATGCTGTTGATTGTTTTTGTCCACCAGGCGGAAGCAGCCCAGTTTGACATGAACTGGAAGGTGCCGGCCATCCTGTACTACGCCAAGAGGAGCTACCACACCAAACACGACCTGCGCAGTAAGACGCCTGGGGTTCATTTGCCTCTGGGATAAGTACAGCTGGGCTGCACACACTGCTGACCCCTGTCTGAGACAGTAGGTCTTGCACAAGATACAGCAGGGAATGCTCAAGAACTCAATTATTTGTATGTAGGGGCATCAAGCATTAATACCTGTATATGCTGTGCATCTCTCTATCTCGCTTAGTGTTGGTCTCCCTGCCTGTGTTCATGATTTATGCACTCCAGTATTTCTTAGTTCCATTCATCTTCCTAATGTCTCCGTCTCCGACACCCATGTGATCTCTGACCTCAACATCAGTTAGAGCCTCTAATCTGTGTTGTGGTCTGTGTGTTCAGTTAAGAACCCCATCGAGGCCAGCGTGCTGCTGGCGGAGGCATCTCTGGCCAGGAAGCAGAGGAAAAGCCATGCCACCTTCATCCCCCTGATGGTCAGTGAGATGCCCCAGGCTGGGGACCTGGTGGGGCTGGACGCTGAGTTTGTCACCCTCAACCAGGTCAGTGTGTATTTGTACCTGTGTTAAGAGAGGCGCATTTGTGATAATAAGGCTGAGTTATAGGTTTGATGGTAACTCTATGGAACACTAGAGAAAAAACAAGAGACAGAACAATCTTTTGGCTGGATTGTTGGTGTTGAAGTACCATAGTGAATGAATATGCAGTAGACTCAGTGATAAACCAGGGAAAAGCAATATTTTAAGTCCACATAGTTTGGAGTACAGTTTTACTCAAAATAGTTGTGACAAACGTTTTAAATTTCAAAGAAATCAGCCTTCTAACCCAAGAAGAAGGGAATCTTAACAGTCTCTTAGATGTGTGGATGTTTAATATTACTCAATCTAAAGAAACAATTTCCCAATAGAAAGCACCGTCTGTGTGCTTATGTATTAAGAGTTTGCTGTCGGTTGCTGTTTGTTGAGGAATCTTATTTCCATCGCGACTTAATCACTTGCGCGTCTGCTGGGACAATGCCTCTGGTGTCTGACCGCATGGCCTGACCGTGTTTGACCATGTGGCCTGACCATGCTGCGCTATGTGTGTGCAGGAGGAGGCGGAACTACGCAGCGATGGCACCAAGTCCACCATCAAGCCCAGCCAGATGTCCGTGGCCAGGATCACCTGTGTCAGGGGTCAGGGCCCCAATGAGGGCGTCCCCTTCATCGATGACTACATCTCCACGCAGGAGCAGGTTCGTGCGCAGCGAGGGGGATCCGTGCTCAAGACCGAGCTGGAGAAATCGGCCCTTCTGTGAACGCAACTCCTGAGCAATTCAGAGATGCTAGTTGGATCTGGGCTGTTTCTTTATCCGAGTTAACAAGGGTTGTTATTGTGAAAGTTCTGGGAATAACAGGATATTGGTGTACAGTGGGCAGTCCTTATTCCCGTGTCTCTGTCTGTTGGCAGGTTGTGGATTACCTGACTCAGTACTCCGGTATCAAACCAGGTGATCTGGATGCCAAGATCTCTTCCAAACACCTGACCACGCTCAAGTCCACCTACCTCAAACTGCGCTTCCTCATCGACACAGGAGTGCGCTTCGTGGGCCACGGGCTGCAGAAGGACTTCCGGGTCATCAACCTGCTGGTGAGCCGGGAGTGGGGCGGGGGGCTCATCTGCTTCGGACAGTGCAAACCAGGCTCTCGTCGTCCTGTGGGCCAAGTTCAGACATTTCTAAAGTTTCTGCTGCTCCCCAGATTGCAGCAGTCTGGAGTGCTAGACACCCTAAGGGAAGCAGTAGTGTGTGTGTCTTGTCTGCAGGAGAGCATGTCCTCAAGAGGGCTGCTGACACCACCTTAAATTGTTCCGATTTTTATTTCTTCCTGGTCACTTAAAGCACGTGAGTTTCACATGTTTAGTGTGACATGTGGCTCGGGGTTTAGTGTAGTGTGTTATTTTCAGATGTTATTCTTGATTACGTTCCCTGCCCTGGAAAAAAATATTACTGATAACCTTATTAATGATTACAAATGATAAAAAATAAATTGTTTTGGCGGCCCCTTTTTTTTTTGGGGGGGGTACTAACTTAAGTGCGCTCCCTGTGATGGCTTAGGTGCTGAAGGACCAGGTGATCGACACGGTGTACCTGTTCCACATGCCCCGGAAGAGAATGATCTCCTTGCGCTTCCTTGCCTGGTACTTCCTGGGTCAGTCAGCGTCTCTTACCTTCAGTGCCTTGTCTGTGTTTTGTTTCTGTTGGCACCGCTTTGTTTTGATTTCTTAGGGAGGAATACCAGTCAGGTTGGTCATGTTGATGGTTGCTGCTGGTTATTTTTCCTTATACCCCTTTCATTCTAATTTGGAAATGTTTCGTTAATTTGACTCGTTACATGAATGAACCAGCCTTAAAGAGAGTGTGCATGCATCAGAGTCTTGTGCTTCCGGTTTCCTGCTCATGCTGCAAGCCCTGAAGTGCCCCCAGTAGAGATGGCATCAGCCGGAGGAGTGCTGCAGCTCTTTGACAGTACTGCTGTCTCTCAGGTGCCAGTTGAGTCACAGGGCTAACTCTCTGTCCTGTCCTGGCTAACTCAGGGTGTGCCATCCCCTGCACCACTGCAGTTAACTGATCGATTTCTTAATTTCTTAGCCTAGACTCTTGTGCCACCAGAAGGATCTGGACTGCAGGGGCTCAGCCTGCAGCTCGAGTGCCACTGTACTGGCAAGTAAAAGCCGTGAGGGGCTGGGCAGGGCTGAGACTCTCGCTGCTGTCCTCCCTGCAGACCTGAAGATCCAGAGCGAGACGCACGACAGCATCGAGGACGCGCGCACCGCCCTGCAGCTGTACAGGAAGTACCTGGAGCTGAGCGGCAGGGGCCCCGAGGACTTCCGCAAGGTGCTGAAGGGCCTGTACGAGAAGGGCCGCAAGCTGGACTGGAAAGTGCCCGACTGCGACGGGGGAGACGGCCAGGGCAGCCCCAAAAGTAAGGCCTGCTGGTTTCACTCCCGCCCGGGCTTGACCCCCGCGTCAATAACCACTTGACCCTTAAAGGGCTGAGGTGAGGTACGGGAGCCACGCTGGGCCCCAGTCTGCGGGATGAAACGGGAGTACCAGGGGCACACCCACACACATGGGGAAAACATGCAAACTCCACACAGAATGGTGTCTTAGTTTGTCAACAAACCCAGGAACTGTGAGGGAATGGAGCTAACCGCCAGCCATCATACCCCCTGACTTGGCTTCAGCTCAATTTTTCATAGTTGGTCAGTGCAGTCAGATCCTTATGAGCTTTATATTATCCAGTAGAGTCTTGTTTTTATCTGTGTTGTGTGTTTGCTCAGCTGCAAAAAATACCCGCAAAAGCTTTCTCCTACGGCATATGGAATATGAAAGATCATACTTTTTTTAAAGCTGGCTGCCTTCCACGTGTTCTGAGTGTCTGTGCAGAGCACCATCTCACACACACAGTTCCCTGAACGACCTGGACTCGGTGGTGTCTTCAGCTTGCCAGGCGCCTGGGAACAGGCCCGGTGTTAGATGAGAGATCCATCAGTGCCCCTGGCAATGCCAACTCTGCTGAGGGCACTGTGGGAGTCTCTCTATGAAAGGTAGCAGGACCCATGGAAAAGCCTGTGGGTGTCACAGTGGGAAAGCTAGATTGGCAAAGAATGGCTCACTCAGATCTGGTTGTTCATAAAACAGAATAAATCTGTGATGCCAAATGTGAAACATGAAGTGGTCATATGGGCATGTACATGAGCATGCTGGGTCCTGCAGACACAACCGTCACATGCTGTGACTTGCTGTTCTCTTTCCTGCAGGTGCAGCCGTGTTCCCCTCAGTGATGGGACTGTGAGAAGACCGGGGTATCTAAAAAGAGGTCAGGTTTTGTTCTAAAAAAAGGGGGGAGATTTTAATCTTATCTTCCCAGTTCATTATTCCCCCCTAATTATTTTTTTTTGTTTTGATTTCACATTTCCAGAGAATTAAGAGTTATGTGAGGACGATTCCACACACAGGATTTCACTCCATGTGTGAATTCGGTTCCTTTTTTTAAAAGCAGGTCAGCCTGTGCCTGCGCTGCTACCGGGCAGCCTGTCAGGTCATTGAGCTGCTGGTTCTGCTGGAGAGCAGCAGCTGGTGAAATGAAGTAATGGACCTGAATCTTTGCTGAATCTCACTAGAGTCTGGCACCCATAGCTGCGTTTTTCTGAAACTAAGGACAGAAGTGGGAAGTGGGTTGAGAAAACGGGTGTTGTAAGAGCTTGGACAGCCTGTTAAAGAAGAGGAGGAGGAGGAGGAGGAGGAGGAAGAAGGGGCCCTGCGGAGCTGCAGGGGAAGGAAGGCCAGTATTAAGACAAGTGATCCCTGTTGTCCACCCATCAGCACTTAAGATGGCCTGTCAGACTGGTGTGCTGCACTTGTACAGATCGTTTTTTGCTACAAAACATTTTGTATTTGAATATTTAGTTGTTTCCGGTTTTACCGTATTCTTTTGTAAAGTAATAAATAAAGTTTTGTATTTCTTGGGCGGTTATCGTTAATTACACCGTCGACCATGAACGCTGTCTTACTGCTGCCAAACTGCACTGGCTCTCCCTCGCTGCCGTGGGGTGTTGAACCCTTTGAATCCAAGGCGCTGTGTGCGGCAGATGTTGCTTGTGGCGGCTGGTGTGACGTTTGGGGGACGGGGCAGTGCGAGTGGCCCAGTTTGAGGAGAACTGCCCCCGAGAGGCTCTGTGCAAGATGGTAAGTTTTGCAACCTGTGGCTGCAACTGCCTCAGGCACAGACTTCCTGTCTCTTTGCATAGCCTCCCTTTCCATTCAAAGCAGCTTGCAAAGCCCCCAGGCACTTTGCATGTGGCGAAGCAACGCAGGCTAGCACATGCATCTCCTCTAGAATCGTTGTGGTTAAATGGAGCCCTTATCTGAATTGCTATCCACCTCTGTTGAAAGGAGAAAGTCCAGTTTTGTTCCCCAAAATACGTCTAGCCCTTTTGCCCTGAGGCTTTGTGCACTCAAACATGTTATCTTCAAACATGGATTAAATTTAAAAGAGGATTAAAATGTTCTGGTACACGCTACTGCACAAACCTATTGCTTTGCTACATTAACTTCAACCTAAGCTTTTCTTTAAAAAAACAAGTCTTTCACTTTAGAATGTGGGGCTATACTTGGTCCACGTTTGGCTTCATCATCGTTAACATGAAAATATCATTTGCTTTCTGTGATAGTCTTGCAACATTTCAATTTTAAGTGTTTTAATAAAAACATCAGGAGAGTCCTAATAAAAGCAAATGCATCACAATTACATTTTACAAAACAACTCAATAGTCTACGAGTGGAAAAAGCAAGAAAACTGAAGAGTAGAAGAGTACAACCCAGGTGAGAGAGTGGGGGATTATTTTATTTGTTTAGCTGCATTGATCTGGCAGTCTTAATTTGATACAACTTCATGTACAATGTGGCATCCCAGTTATTACACTAAAAACATGAACATGTAGTTTGGGTACAGTGTGGAATTTGGAACATCAGAGGAAGGGAAAACAGCCTTTTAAGAGCTGGTTAGTAATGAAACATGAACCAAACCATGAGGACACCGGGTGGCAAATCATGCCCTCCTCTCATGAACACAGTTGGTGTTGTGGTTGCAATTCTTGGGCACGAATGAACCATGCAACAGGTTACAATTGATCCCTTAGCTCCAATAAAAGAAACAAACGTTTATTTCCTGCTGAAAAGAGAAGAAAAAGCATTTTGGCCGTGGAGCCTTCTTTGGGTGTCACAGTCGAAAGATTTTCATCTCTTCTCAGCATGGAATAAACCTTCACTTGTTCCTTTACAGCCTACCCATGCTGACGCAGCTGCCTCCTCGAATGGCATTAAAAGTACCCAAGTACTGAATTTGCACCAGTTTCCTCATGTATTTACTTCCCACTGACCCTCTGCAACGGAGGAAGTGGGGTTCCATATTTGAGTGATTTACCAACACCTGCCTCAAGAACTACATAAAAACACCCCATGTCACATCTGCTCTGACAGCTCTGCTACATGATGACTGAAAATCCCACCCTGCCTCTCACCACTGAGACCAAATTCCAACCTGTTCCTCCCCCTCATATGCGTGCAAAAGTCCTGTTTATCAAACAGATCCAACTGCTACTTCAACTAACTGAGATCAGAGAAAATTAGGAACTAATACCAGCGCCCTTGAGCCCTAAAAGACCAACATCAAGGAACTTCAACTGGAAGCTGATAAAAAAAAAACGGTTTGATTTCTGGATATAAAACATCTGTCCTAGTTTGGACAAATAGTGACAGACAGCTGCAGTTTACTAGACAAAACACAGACCTTCTGTAGCAGATTTCATCGACTCCAGCGTTTATCATTTTTACTCGGGGCAAATGGATATATTCCAAAAGGTTCAGACATTAAGCAAAACTGGCTTTTTTTCCCCCAGGAAGGAATTCAGAATTCAGTGCAGGAAGATGTCAACATGATACAGAATTGCCTGGTTGCCCTTCCTCGCAGTATGCTCTCCAGGCTGAACGTCATGTTTTGGTTTCGGATTTGAAATCCGAGTACAGCCAGCTCCATTAGGGCAAAAGATCTGTTTTTCAACAGAAATTCACTGGTGCATCACGTTTATCTGAGTTCTTCTTGTGCCGATTTGTGGGGTGAGTTGACGAGGGGCGTCCCCTCCCACTCTGCGTGCCCTCTCACCTACCCTCCCCAGCTCACCGTTGGCTTGCAGGTGGCTGCAAAACGTCAGAAAAGATATTTGGAACAAAGGGCAGCACTTAATACTGTAGTCCGATGTTGTACCTGTATCCAAACTTGAAATTAAAACCATGATAAAAGATGTTGCCTGATGCCGGTGACCAAAGGAGTTAAATTAAACGGTTTTACACTTTTCCCAGAAGCGCACTGATCACCCTCTTCAGCCTCGTGGGGTCCAAGAAGGCCACAATTCCACCCTCGTTGGCCCATCTCTCTGCACCCTGGCATCCCGCTCGGGGCAGGTGGTACTTCAGCTCTGGGCGCCCCCCGTGTTCAGCAAGGCCGCTCAGGCACTGCCCCAGGTCAACCGCCCCCCCGCCCAGCGCCCGCAGGATGGCGTGGGGGGCGCACGAGTCCCATTTGTAGGTGCTGCCCTCCGAGACTACGTAGGCGTCCACCAGGCCGAGGGCCACACACAGGATCTTGTAGCCAGCTCCCGAGGCGTAATGCAGCCTCCCACCACACTGGGGCGCCAGAGCCTGCTTCACAGGCTCCTTCTCACTGGAGCTCAGCACCACAGCAAGCGCCTCCTGGGAGGGCGCCTCCGGCCTAGGCAGCGAGGAGACGTTGAGGTTCCCATAGGACACCCCCCAGAAGTACTGACCCCTCCAGCTGGAACAGCAAACAGCATGGGTTGACTATTGTGCACAATCCGTTCAGATTCACATGAATATTTATTTCAGTTTTTCTTAAAAATTCACGTTTCTGGTCATTTTTTCCCCTGCCACTGAGCCTCTGTCTGGGGGGTTGCTTAAAATGGCCGGCATACATGTTAAACAGGTCAAGTCAAATATGAAACGCGTCAACGCCTGTTCTTCTGCCCGGAGGCTGGATGGCCTTACCCCTGTCCTCCTGGGTCTTTGTGAGCGAAGGGCTGACTGACGACGCCCATGATGGGCTCTCCACTGGCCCGCAGGTACACCCCGATCAGAACCAGGGCACACTGCAAACCCCCTGGGTATAGTCCATCCTGGGCCTCCACGTCCTCTCTCCCCTCGATGTACTGACTGGTGGCATCTGGAAGCACAGCACAGCCCTGGTCAGGTCAATTCTAGGTCTACGCCTTCCGTCTCCTTCTCCTTCCTATCCTACTCCTTTGATAAGCCTAAAGAACTTTAATGTCAGTCAAAATGTCCTAGAGATGGCATGTAAAAGCCTTGTTGAGAGCTGGTGTTTAACATGACAGTTTGGTTTGGAAACCTGAGGTCGAAAAGCAAAACCAAACTGTCCAGGATTGCGAAAATGACAGGGAAAATAATTGGGAAGCAGCAGCCCCAGCTCAGGGATTTATATTGTAATACAGTTCTCAGACTGGCAGGGAACAGCTGACTCCACACAGCCACTCCATTCTCAATTCATAACACTCCCATCAGGAAGACGGTACAGGGAACCAAATTCAAATAAAAACATTTATAAGACATTTTTTGCTCCCTCTGCAATAAAACTGCTCATTGAAGGTATGTAAATGTAGACCCTCCACTACATATTTATTTATCCATCTATTTATGTATCACATACTGTTGTTATTTCATTTACTTTCTCATGATTTTATGTGACATTTTTAGCTTGAGTGTTTTGTACTTCTGTGGGAGAAGCCAAAGACAAGTTTCCACAGCAGTGGGCAATAAAGTAACTATCTGTAGTTGCCAATTTGATGAAGCGATGAGATGTGGTTGCAGGACCTGGAGGAACACTGCTGATTTTCACTCCAGAGTAGCTGGATTCATCTTCATTCATTCATTCATTCATTCATCTGTTTGTTTAAACTTTTTTTTGTTTTGTTTTTTTTTCGTGCTAACTCCTGCGTATCAGAAATACCCAGCCTCAAGGGTAGTTTTCAACACCTTCAGCACACAAATCTGAACACAGCCTGATGCTGATTTTTCTGACTGAACAGCTCTTACTAGTTGATCCGTTAGTTGATGACGAAGAGACGTGTGTGGGAGTGGCACTAGATTAGACACGCCCACAGGTGGGAGTGGCACTAGATTAGACACACCCACAGGTGGGAGTGATACTACGTGAGAAGTGCAAAGGAACAAGTAAAGGTTTATTCCATTACGTAAATGGAAGAAAAGAAAAACTGTTTTGGCTGTGGGGTGTTTTTCGGGTATCAAGACATTGTTAAGACATGGCACAAACCTTTACTTGTTCCTTTGCAGCCTACGCATGCTGACGCAGCTCCCTACTTGAACAATGTGAGACATGCCCGTAATAGGTGTGACACTGTAAATCAGACACACCCAGATTGAGCATATAGAAACCTGAACTCAATTACCCTGTGATTTAATCTCAGTTGGAAGAAAAAGCATAAGACCCAGTGTTCTCGAGATTCAGGGCTAAAAATTACAGGGATTCAGAGCCACTTGCA